TCTACCTCACTATGTGGAAATATTAGCATAATGCTGCCCAAATGTGCACGCAAAAAAAGAAGGCTTGGTTTCAGTAGCCACAGTTAGTGTTGAAGCAGCCATGTCAGGGAGACGCTGTGTGTTTCTAGGCGAAAGCAAAAGCACTTTATTTGGCCTTCCGAAAGTAGATGCATTTAGAAATCTTTAAGATGAAGCTCGCGATTATGGTAAGGGGCGTTACATTTCCGACGAGTGCTTGCGGTGTTCGGCCAATCACAATGCACTGGGTCAGCTGGCCAATCAGAGCAGACTGCGCTTGTCGGAAGGAGGGACTTTGTAGAAAACGACGTGTTTGAGAGAGGCGGGGCATAGAGGACCTACAACAATGTACAGTATTTGAAAAATAATGTGTTTTTTGAACATTAAAGCATGTCAACATATTCTGTTACACCAAATACACAAAATAATGATCTTTAAAAAAGCATCATATGACCCCTTTAAACGTGAATATATCTATGAAAGATTGTATTACTGTACTGTGATAAAAGAGAATCACAATGCTGAAAAAGCATTTTCAGAAACAACGTTTGGATTTGAAATCAAAATAATGGATAAATGTTGTGTTTATAGTAAACAGCCGCGGACCGGAGCAGACTGCAAACGCGTCCTGTGCGAAAGTAAAATGAGTCCGTGCTGCTTCTGCACCGCATACACATACTGTATACGCACTGCAGACGGAGTACGTGTGAACTTAGCACAACAAATCTAGTTCAACATCTGAGGCTTTTTATCTCACAATTCTGACTTTTTTCTCGCAAATTGCAAGTTTTCATTTTGAAATTCTGAGATTATATCTTACAATTCTGACTTTTGTTTTCTCTGAATTCAGTTTTTATCTTACAGTTTAGATTTTTTAAATCTGAATTCATAGTTTACATCTTGCAGTTGTTTCTGTGCAATAAAAAAGGTAATTGCAACTTTTTATCTCACAATTCTGACTTTTTTTGCTTTCAATTCTCAGTTGACATCTCGCAATTCTTAGATTATATCTTGCAATTCTGTTTATTCGCAATTAAAAAAACATAATTCCAATTTTTTAATCCCACAACTCTCACTCTTTTTGTATGAATTGCAAGTTTATATCTCTCAAATCTGCATTTATATCTTGCAGTTCTGCATTTATATCTCACAATTCTGAATTTTTATCTTGCAAATTAGAATTTTTTCTCTGAATTCTTACTTTACAGCTCGCAATTGTTTTTTCCACAATAAAAAAAGGTCATTTCAACTTATCTCACAATTCTTTTTTTCCTGAGAATTGACTGTTTATATCTTGCAATTCTGCCTTTACATCTCACAATTCTGACTTTATATCTCAGAATTTGCGAGAAAAAAAGTCTTAATTTTGAGATAGAAACTCAGAATTGTGAGGGGAAAAAATCCAAATTGTGAGATAAAAAAAGTCACAATTTCGGTCACAATTTTTTTTTTTTTTATAAACAAGTTTCTGTACTAAAGGTTCCCAGATGACACTGTCCTGTTTTGTGTTGCTCCTTTTGATATTGTTATAATCCGTTTCATGATAAAGGAATACATTGCATTGGTACAGAATTGTGAGAGTCAATATTTACGCTGTTAAATATGGGTTTGGAATTACATGAGGGTGAAAAATGACTGTTTAGTTAACTTTTTCCTATCCAATATAATCAAAAGTGTTCCTGATTATCAGCAGAGTTGTGTTTTTGAGGTTGACTAGATTGGTTACAAACAGCATTCAAAGGTGAAGAGGAACAGCTCTAGTGATGATTGCTCTTTTCCTGTGTGTGAACGTGAACAGAAGCTGAAATCTTACCGCATGTGTCTGTGTTTCTCTCAGGATGTGTCTGGAGTGATGTTCGCAGGCTGTTATGCTGATGTATTCAGTACGGACACGCTGATGGAGTAAGTCTTCTCGTTTTGTATTTAATTAACACGCACATCAATATTCATCATGTTTAAAAGCCCTAAAGACAGGTCTTGATGTACTGTGCTTTTAGACGACTATTCAGACGCCTATAAATCAGCCAATATTTGGCCATGTTGAGATTATCAGCATTGGCTGATTAAAACGAATGTTAACTCTCCCGTCTGTCGGTTTCAAAATCTACCAATTTGCTTTTAGATATTTGTGTGAATTTCAAATAAATATTGTGTAAAAATATCAGTTGAATTTCAGTGAACATGCGGACATGTTATTTCTCATATCATCCATCAGTTACTTCTCCTTAAGTTCTAGTACTAGTAACCCATATGAGTTGATCACAAAACTTTGGGGTTGGTAAGATTATTGATGTTTTTGAAAGATGGCTCACCAAGGCTGCATTTATTTAATCAGAAATACTATAAACACTGTAATATTGCTTAATATTATTACAATTTAAAATAGCTGTTTTCTATGTGAATATATTTCAAAATAATTTGTTCCTGTGATGCAAAGCTGAATTTTCAGCATCATTACTGCAGTCTTCAGAGTCACATGATCCTTCAGAAATCATTCTAATATGCTGGTTTGCTGTTCAAAAACATTTCTAATTATTATCAATGTTGAAAACAGTTTCGTATTTTTGTGGAAATGGTGATACATTTTTTTCAGGATTCTTTGATGAATAGAAAGTATAAAAGAACAAATTTAAAATAGAAATCTTTTGTAACATTTTCAATGTCCTTACTCTCAATTTAGATCTAATTAATGCATTCTTGCTCAATAAAAGTATTAAGTTCTTAAAAAAGATATATATATTTTTTAATCTTATTGACACTAAACTTTTAGTCAATAGTACACATTTTTTTCCTACGTTTTAATGCCTTATTTCACTTGATGCATGTTTCTCCTAAATTAAATGGTAATTTTTGTTTGAAACAGACACGTACAGTATAACATCTCTCATTATATTGGTTAATTAATTATAACACATAACAAGAACATTGCTCATCAGTATCTGCCATAAAATGTGCATCCATCAATCTTTAATTTTCTTTAATTTACGTAAATACTCAGACCCTTTACCGAGATGCCAAATTAAGCTCAAATTTATTGACGCAGTATTGATGAGTAGTGGTGAAAATAATTCTGTTCAACAGGAAGTATCATTTTGCTGAAATGATGTACGCACTTCCTGAGGGCATCACAGCTTTGCACAGGGTAGGTAGGATGTTTGATATGAGAGTCAGGGAAGCACACTAACACACGCAAAATATGATCAAAGCTGTGATCTGAAGCTGTATTTATCACTGAAGGCAGGTGTTGACATACTGTACGTGCTATTTTTGATGTTTCTCCCAAAGGCAGTAGATATCACCATTGTCATCTCTATTGTTGTTACCAGCATGGGTTTTTTCAGCCCTAGATACACTCTTAGAGCCCTTGTCCATGATGTTCACACATTCCTATTTTGTGCGCTCATGAACACTGAAAATCGTGATGCTTTTAATGCAAATCTCCACCAAAATCCTAGTTTACAAATTCATATAATGCAAATTATTTCATGCTATATTGTCTATTTTATGTACACTACTGTTTGGGCCATGCTCACCAAGGCTTCATTTATTTGTTTAAAAATACAGTAAAAACTGTAATATTGTGAAATATTATTACAATTTAAAATAGCTTTTTTCTGTGTGAATATATAGTCAAATGTAAATTATTCCTTTGATCAGTGCTGAATTTTCAGCATCATTACTCCAGTCGTTAGTGCCACATGATCCTTCAGAAATCATTCTAATATGCTGATTTGCCACTCGAGAATTATTTTTGATTATTATCAATGTTGAAAACAGTTGTGCTGTTTCATATGGAAACTGTGATGCATCTTTTCAGGGTTCTTTGATGAAAAGAAATTTCAACAGAACAGCAATTATTAGAAATAGAACTATTTTGTAACAAATAAATATTTTGTTGAATAAATATTGACAGAATTATTCTGTTAAAACGACCTCATGCTTTGTATTGAAAAGGAAGCACAATTAAATTACACTCTTAAAAAAACACTGCAAATCATTTATATGATCAATAAGCAAGAGTCTTGCAATGAAATAACGCAGACCTGTATTGTACATTGTGCTATTTCCATCCCCACCATCTTCAGCTTCTATTATGAGAGCAAAACCGCAGACGGCAGCAGAAGCGAAATGCAGCGGGGAGGAAAATATGCTGGACAAAGTTACATGCTAGAACACGATTTATTCTCAATGAGAGCCGCGGACACAGTCCTGTAAATCTGCCATGAATGTGCAATACATATGCACTCATTTTTGCTTGCAGCAGGCAAAAATGGGCCAGCTGATGATGCAGTCATTTACCTTTTTTGTCATTTACAGTGTGTTTTAATTCAGTTTCAATATCCAGCCAAGAAGTTAAAGAAAAAAGGAATATAATGGATGATCTGGAGCACAAAAAGACAAGCGATGCTCTCCTGTCCTCAGCCTGTATTGATTTTATGAACTCAATTCTCTGAAGTGCAGCCCAGGCTGCCGTCTTTATCAAAGCATGATTCTCTCACACACACACACACACACACACACACACACACAATTAGACATACACCGCTCTTAATGCAGAACAGTTGGCAAAAATCACTCATTCTAGGCAGGCTTTCTCTGATTCCTTTTTCATCTTTTTTCCCCCCTCCCCTGCTCTAGATCATATTAGTTCTTTCAAAGCGTTCAGCACGCATTTGAGAGAGAGCGAGAGAGAGGCTGAGTGAGAGAGATGCAGGATGCTGATGATTGAAACTGTACAACTGTTCACTTGATAAAAAAAGAAAGAAAAAATCGCTGCAATTTCATAAAAAAAAATCAAGTGTACAGTTTCATTTAAAATAGAAGTGCACGGATAAATTATTTATAATAAACACTACAGTATTCCATCCAAAAATAAGAATTGTCCATTTTGATTTCATTCCGAATTTAAGCTTTAGTTTTAGTAATTTCAGCACTTTAGCTTCAACCTTTTATTTCGGTTTTTGACCAAGGCAATATTTCAGATTTTTTTTAGTTTTTCTGTAATTGAAAAACAAATTACTATCATTTTAAATAAATACTGTGCAATTTAAATTTTATATATATAATTTTTTTTTTCCCCCACATAACAATAATGTTTTTTGGGGGGGGGGGGGGAAAGTTTATTTTTTTTTTTTTTTTTTTATTTTTATTTAATAAAAAAAT